CTTACACACGTTCCGCAACACTGAAGAGTCACGTCTGTCTGTCTGCAGAAACACTTACACACGTTCCGCAACACTGAAGAGTCACGTCTGTCTGTACGTAGAAACACTTATACACGTTTCACAACACTAAAGAATCATGTCTGTACGTAGAAACACTTATACACGTTTCACAACACTGAAGAATCATGTCTGTTTGTATGTATAAACACACACGTTTCACAACTGGACAAAGAATGAATGAGGTCAGTTTAAATGCAGGCAATTAACATTTTCCAATAAGATAGTTTAGAAGGATGTAGAGACCCTTCTACCATTATGCATTTCCCTTGATAAATACTGTAGAGGCTTCTGCTAAAACAGAGGTTCTTGGAAGGTGCAAGCAATTCGCCTCAACTACTAACCTAATGGTTGGAGGTTTGAACCCACCTAGTAGTGCCAAAGAAAAATGGCCTGGCCTGGTGATTTGCTGCTGTAAAGACGACAGCCAAGAAAACCCTAGGGAAAAGTTCTAGTCTGTGGCACACGGGGTCACCACGAATTGGAACTGACCAGACAGCAACAGGTTTTACTGCTCAAATGAAAATTCACTATTGGATTGCAAACTATTTCTATAAATCTTACCAGTCACTCATTAAAATGTGCTGCAGGCTTTCATCGTTTGACCAAGGGCTGGTCTTCCCAGCCATTTTTCTGTCTGCTCCAATACGAGGGAAGAGCGGCAGCCAAGGAAAGGCAGGGTGGAGCCAGTAGATGAGGCTCTGCTGGAAGGCACAGCGGAGCTCGGTGGAGAGCCTGGTATCCTAAAATCCAGGTGACATTGGGCATTTTTTGCCCCATTAGAAATATAAACTTTTAGGAGTGAGACACTGAATATACCAAGCACTTAGTCGGAGAATCTCTACTGCTTCCCACAGGAAAGTGTCGGTAACTTTGATAGGTGCTGAAGTGCAGTTTATCCTTGTTTGAGAAGAACCTTTTTTGCCGGCAGTGTCAGTCCATTGAACAATACACCAGGAACACTTAAATGGAGATGGAAACAATTTTCCGTCTCGAACATCCTTGAGAACAATGGCTGTTTTTATCACTGGAGCAGGTGTTGAGTGTGTATGTGTAGCTAACGCTATTCAACCTCCCCTATGTCCCCGTGTCAAAAGTACAGAGTAAAAACCGACAATGTGGATCACGAAACGTCTTGATCTCTTCACTGGAGAAGATGGACCAGAGCCTCCCTCAGTGGGCCCTTTCAGCCTAGTTTGAGTGCTGAGATGTTTGGGAGTAATGCAATGACACTTCTCTAAAATCATTCCAGACCCCAATAACTACATTTACAACAGACCACCACCCAGGTAACAGGAAATCACTGCATTTAAAAAAACACTATACTCTATACAAGAAAACTAGAAAAACAATCCACCAGCCTCATACTCTTTCTCCTCAATTGCTTTTCATTTCTTTTCCATATACTTTCTCTCTCAAAGACCTTAGAAAAGAAAGGTTTGGTTCAAATAATTCCTGCCGGCAACATATACTAACTCTCAGTCCGTGTTTCTAAATGCAATGGGCAGTTGTGGAATCCGACAAAAACAAAACAGAACAAACAAACAAAACTGTATGAAAGAATGATTTGGAAAATACAAAACTTTCCAAGGCTTTGTGTCTTTAAATGTCAGAAGAAAAACAATAATGAAAGGAAAAATCATCACCCTAGTACTAAGACTAAGAACGACACTTTGCAGAGAAGCACATTTTCGCACTAACTTGCCACCTTAAAACACGGCTCCCCTATTTCAGAATTACCTGTATACTCTGTGGTAAGGTGACTGCTGTCGCCCTACAGTGCTGAACGAGACCTTGAGCCTCTTCGTGTGCTTTCAAATGATCTGCCCAGGCAAAGGGCTGGGAAGAGGTGAAAAGAAGTCGAGTTTTAATGCTCCAGTCTACAGGTAACTCAGCACTTTCTGAGGATGGAGTATCAGTTTCGGAGAAAGATGCAGGTGAAGTCTTTCAGAAAACAAACAACAGAAAAATTAGTGGCACCTCAAGAAAAGCTTTGACCTAGAGATTTTATCAACTGACATACTCATGACCACTGTGGTGTTAAGATGACTATAATAAACAACATTGAGAATATACTACATGCTGAGGAAAAGTCTGGAAGGAGGCCCAGTAAACCGCTCACAGCGGTGACCTCTGGAAAGCCAGGATGTTTTACTGTTGTTGTTTGGGGGCAGGAGAGAGGGGTGCTGGTTGTGGTGGTGGAGGGGCAGATTTCACTTTTTAGTTTACATAGTTCTATACTGTTCGAGGAGCGCTGGTGGTGTAGTGGCTAAACAGCTTGGCTACTAACCAAAAGGTCACCAGTTCGAATGCCCCAGCTGCTCCTTGGAAACCCTGTGGGGCAGTTCTACCCTGTCCTATACAGTCACTATGAGTCAGAACCGACTTAATGGCAACGGGATACTATTTTAGTTACAAGAGGCATGCATTATTTTTATGATCATAGCTTATAAAAATTAAAACCTACATTGCTATTGTCCAAGTAGAAATCGTCCAAGAATTTTAAAAAGTACGTTTTAAGTCCCTGAAAACTCTGGAACCAGGGCTAATCTGCTCCCACAGTGAATGTGGGTCAGGCTCTCAGAGGCCGTATTTAAGAAACGATTCTTGACCTCAAACCCCCTCGGCGTGTTTCACTCTTCTTTCAGGTTAATATCCCCAACATCAGGAGCATTCCTTTAAGTGATATCACAAAAAGTGGCAGGGATGAGGGAACTACTTCCAACAGACCATGTGAAGAAGGCCATTTATTTCTAACAGCAGGAGACTGGGTCTTGGTGACTTCTGGAAGTCTGATCCCATTAGGGCAGACTATCCATGTATCAAGCTATCGCAACAGAAGTACCTGGGGAACAGAATCAGGAGTGTGCCTGCAAGGATGGTGGTGGTAGCACAGTGAGGTTCAACGCTTTCTAACAACCTGTGGAGGTAATCTGGGGATCTGATTTGAAGATCTAGTGAGGGACTAAGTTCAAAAAGAAGCTGAACCTGGAGGGGCTGAATCTGAGATGAGCTGGAGGAGTCACCCACCAAGGAAGAAGAGCGCTAAAAGCCGTTGGAGGCAGAAGGAGAAATCCTTATCAGCTATGCCTACTTATTGTTGGTTGCCATCGTAAACATTAAAACATCATACTAAGTCCTCGATCTTGGCTGAATTCATCTTTTCAACACCGGACAAATCTGCTGGAAAAGACTTCTTTAAAATCTTAAAAAACAAAGATGTCACCTTGAGAACTAAGGTGCACCCGACCCAAGCCATGGTGTTTTCAACTGCCTCATACGCAGGCTAAAGTTGGACAATGAACAAGGAAGACTGAAGAACTGATGCCTTTGAATTATGGTGTTGGTGAAGAATACCGAATACACCATGGACTGCGAGAAGAGCGAAAAAATTTGTCCTGGAAGAAGTACAGCCAGAATGCTCCTTAGAAGCAAGGATGGCGAGACTTCATCTCACGATCTATGGACATGTTATCAGGAGGAATCAGTCTCTGGAGAAGGACATTATGCTTGGTCGAGGGTCAGGGAAAAAGAGGAAGACTCTCAAGGAGATGGACTGACACAGTGGCTGCAACAATGGACTCAAACAAGCAACACTGTGAGGATGGTGCAGGACTGGGCAGTGTTTCCTTCTATTGTACACGTGGTTACTATGAGTTGAAACCAATTCGATGGCACCTGACAACAGCAAAGATGACCACTCTCTCAGAGCTTCCTGTGAAACTTTTCCAAGCAAAATGCTTCCAAACCAAACCCGTTGCTGTCATGTCGATTCCGAACCATAGGGACCCTACAGGACAGAGTAAAACTGCCCCATAGGGTTTCCAAGGAGCGGCTAGTGGATTTGAACTGCTGACCTTTTGGTTAGCAGCCGTATCACTTAACCACTATGCCACCATGGCCAAAACGCTTCTGAGCAGTACAAATTTACATTATAAAAAACTACATTCTAACGATAAAAGTTTTACCTTGGATAATTCAATAATGGTTGTTTCAAGAAACTTCTCTTCCTGTGGCAAATCATTTTCTTGATTAGAATCCAAAACCTGAGGTTGGAAAAAAGTCCTTAAACGATGAAGTTTGCTTTAAATATGTACAGAGCCTGGCATGTGAGTTTCTCAGTAAATTCAAGCTTGTTTATTCATAATGCCCCTAAAGCAGTACATGAGAATTTTGACTTCAGTTTTGCGTATGAACTTTAGTATCAAAAATGAGAAACAAGGCCCGTGTTGTATGCATCTATTAACTGGCGTGTAAACATCAAACCAAAAGACCCTAAAGGCTTTGGGGTAAGAGAAATCCTAGTCAATTCTGACCCCACAACTCAAGATTCCTCCATCCCGTGAGTAATTTTCAGTGCGTGCGATCCGGAGGCAGGGATCTACGTTGGAAAGCAGGGTCTTGTAATTTCCCGGCCAAACAGCTCCTTCCAGGACGGCTGCTCTAAGCCTGTCTCTACACCCTGTTGACAGGGCTGCTGCCACCTCCTCAAACGCAGGCTCCCTCGACCCCTGCCCCCTGCCCAGGCGCCCCTGAACCCTGCCCCTGCCCTCCTGAACCCCGGCCCCTGCCCCCCGCCCAGGCGCCCCTGCCCCCCGCCCCGGGGCCCCTGAACCCTGCCTTCCTGAACCCCGGCCCCTGACCCCCGCCCAGGCGCCCCTGAACCCTGCTCTCCTGAACGCTGGCCCCTGACCCGCTCAGGCGCCCCTGAACCGTGATCCCCGCCCCGATGCCCCTCGCCCCCAACCTCCTGAGCCCCTCGCCCCCAACCTCCTGAGCCCCTACCCCTGCAAGGCGTGCCCGCCGGCAGCGACCCAGGCCCGCCGGCCGTCCAGCCGCAGCCGCCCCCAGGGCTCAGGGCGCCTCAGGAGCGGCTCGCTTCCACGTTCGCGCCTATTCCAGCCTCGGCCTCTCAGTTGCTCAACCCAGGAACTGTGACGGCGCCCTGCCGCCGGCCACCAAGCACTCACCGGGCCCGGCTCGCCGGGGGCCTCGGCGGCGGCCGGCAGCCTGTTGTCCAGGCGAGCGAATGGGTTCCTCCGGACCGGGGTCGCACGGCCGGTGCCCGCCGCGGCTGGGAAGGGGCGGAGGGGCAGCCCGGCGGCCAGCGCGGCGCGTCGGGGCGCGGGCTCAGGGGTCGGGGAGGCGGTGGCCCTGTGGCTCCGGGCCCTTTTCCGGCGGAGCCGCAAGGTCTCGGGCGGCCTCTTGAAGCTGGGCGAGTAGCCGGGCACGGTGACGGCCATGACGCCCGGTGGCGGCGAGCAGACAGGCAGCCAGCAGATACTTCCCGCGCGCGCCAGCCCCGCCCCCGTCAAGCAGTCGCGCCGGGCATGCGCGGTAGGCCGCCCCGAAGCCCCACCCCCGCCAAAAAGCCTCCCCGAGCATGCGCCGTAGGCCGCCCAGAGGCCCCCGCCGCGGCGTACAGCCGTAACGCGCATGCGCCTTAGGCTGCCCCGCTCTCGCGGCGACCCTCAGGGCCGCCGCCGCCCACCCTGTAGTATCCGGAGACCCTTTCAAGCGCGGGGCCCCCAGTCGTAGTCGGGTGGCCGGCTGCGGCGTGGCGAGAAATCACGCCGTCCAAGGTACTGGAATGGACTACCCTGTTGGCAGGGGGCAGTCAGCCCCGGGCACGGCGCCTCCACGCGAAGGAAACGCGACCTGAGGGCGACGCTACCCCAAAACGTGGCCTGAGGAGCCCGGGCCTTCCCCAGCGCCCCCAGAGAGCTGTGTCCTGGGAACCAATCTAATGTAATTTGGAAACTCGGGGTTTGAGAGTGGAAAGTACGCTCCGGCGAGGACCTGAGAGCGAAGGCGTTAAGGAGGAAGGTGCCGAGGCCCGGGCAAGGCCGAATCTGACAGAAGGACGCCAACGAGCAGCCGCGGGCGGCTTCGCGGGAAGCCTGTTCTCCAAGGTAAGGGTGGTGCAGCGGAGGGAGGCAGCGTGTTTAGAGACAACAGAAACGAGCTTTTCACAACACTCCCTTCAGACGTTAACCGTTTGCACAATTAATCTACTTTTCAAAGATTCACGTAACTCTGAGCATCTTGTCTTAGCAGGAGAAAATGCTTAGAAACACAACAACTTGCTTTTCTCTTCCTTGATTTTTCTGAACAATTTCCAAGGAAACTTTGGCTTCAAATACTGGAATGTGTTCATCCAACTGAGGTCTGAGGAAGAATAAAATTAAAATTGAACAACTTGCTTTTTTCTTCCTTCATTTTTTTGAACAATTGCCATGGAAACTTTGGCCTCATATAGTGGAATGGGTTCATCCAACTGAGGTCTAAGGAAGAATGAAATTAGAAATGTCAGGTCTAGTTAAAGAGGATCAGAACACACAGGGTGGTCGCTGACAGTTATAGCTCAATCGATTTAAATCATTTAAACAAACTTGTCCATTACTACTTCCACTGTTAAAAAAAAGGTCAGATTTTGAAGGGAAAAAATACCTCCTTTATCCACTCCCTTTTTGTAGGTGGTAAGGAGATGCAACTTTTTAAAATCATATTATACTTTTCTCCCTTCTTCTCAAGTAATGGCTTGTTCAAGTTGCTTTGGGAGGAATGATGAGGGAAAGCAAAGGACCAGGTGCAGGATGGGACGGAGTGGGAAAAACCATCTTTAGGAATTCTTACAGACCACCAGACACACTCTGAGAAATACTAAAAAGCAGTCATGTCTCTAAATAAATATGGAGGCAACAGGCGTACCCAGGTGTAAAATCTGAAACAAAAATGGAAATGCCTGCCTTTTCTTGAGAACAGAAAAACAAGAATGACAATTTGGTTACTTTGCGTACCTAAAAACACCAGTCGATAACTTCTCCATCACATCTTTTAAGATACGTAGCTGAAAGGATTGTTAAGGTGGCAATGTAAAGGAAAGAATTAAATAAAACCATTCAACAAGCAGAAGATGCTAGGCAGGTCACCTGTCTTGATTTTGTTGCAAGTTTTTTAGTTTTTAACTCTCTAAAATTCAGAATGTTAAGTTACAGAAATTCTGTAAACTGTCACATTTACCTCTACAACAGGGAAATAGGGAAACGATTTGAGAGGTGATGTGACAGAGCCTAACCCTCTAAAGACAAACAGGGAAAGAAGCGGCCTCGTGCCTGTCCTACGTGACGACTGCTGTTAGCCAAGGTGGATGGTGACTGAGCAGTGGTAGGCTTTTATTTCTGCACTATTTATGGCATTTTTAATTAAAAAATTAACACTTGTATCTCTTACTTTAGGTGCACACTTATTTACTAAACTGCTTGATAATAGCTTCAAAATTTGTGTGCTGGAAAGAAAAGTTTATAAATTACGTATGTGTATATATTTCACCAAGAGAATCAGGAAACGGTGTTAAAATTAAGAAAATTTCACCTTAGTCATTTAGTTTTAGAAATTAGAAGGCTGGGATCGAGAGCCTGTATAATTGCTAGTACCGGAGAATTCGCGATGGCACACAGTCACAACTGCAAAGAGAGCTCCATGTGACGTCACATGCAGCAACTGGCTCACCTGTGATCTGAGGGGGCCTGCATGTGGGGATTAACGTTGGCTTCAGGACTTAGAAAGTGTAAATTAAAAATACGATCACAAGCAATTTCAAAGATGTGAAGAATATTAATCACTTATTCACAACCCTGCAAATTCTCTCTACCTATTACTGTAATTGCCATCAGTATATATACATAATGCCTATTTCTTTGGAAAATTTTACTCATTTCATATAAACATGTCATGTTTCAACACAGTCCATGGATTTATCGAACAGGTTAACAGCATTTTCTCATAGTTGAGGGTTGGGGGAATGAGAATTAACAGACAAAGCAGCCAGCCTAGTTTCTGACATGGAAGATTCAAAATATTAACTAATATACTTTTAATTTAATTGGTGTTCTCCATTGTTAACAGTCCACGTAGTCTTGATAATTACAGTGCTATTGGACAGTTGTTTACAAATGAAAATTTTAAAAATTCTTGTAATGAATTAAAAAAGTTTTATTTCCCAAATTTAATACTTAATCAAAAATATGTTAAACTCGTACATTCACTACATTAAGGGGACGTTTCTGATTTTGAAATCTCTTTAAAACTTAACATATGCAGTATATTAATTACATTTTACTATTTTAAAGCTCTGAATTAAGTCTGTCATTGCTCCTTGAGGGCACTGGCCTCTATGCGTATCACATACGTAACTACGGACATATAACAAAGGAAAGGTATGAGACTTGGTGGAGATGAACGGAAGGCTATGCAAGCTTCTTTGTGTACACATATACTTTACTGAGTTAATGAGAACTTATTTTTTGTCCAACACATTAAAGCTTTTACCAAGTGCAGTTGCCTTTGAAACTAATCTTAGAAAGAAAAGGTTTATTTTGAAGTTGACTATGCTCTTAAAAAGTTTTGGATCTTTTCTCATGGGATTGCTTTCATATTCTCTCAAGAAAACTTTTCATTACTTTTATCAAAACGCATGATTTGGCTTCATTCACCAAGTTTGTCTCTGAGTAACTTCTCTTTTTAAGAATGAGGATTCATCCTCATTTGATGAAGACTTCCTAGCATCGATATTTGTAACAGTGCCCCACAAACTTTAAATGAGGTAAGTATTCTGAGATGTTTTCTGCAGTGGCCCTGTCACAGGAGTGATCATGCAGCCTCTCAAGGTGACACATGGAATTTCCATAATGTCAGGTTAAAAACAAAACAAACCTTCCATGTATTTTATGGTTTATCTCCCATTCAGAAAGGAGCCTGACTACTGGGGCGTGATTCCTCTTCTGCCACTTGCTAGCTGTGTCCTTGGACTTGTGTTAACCTCTCTAAGCCTCAGTTTCTTCACCTGTGAAATAAGGGTAGCAACAGTACTTATACCTCATAGGGTTGTTATAATGTTTACATGAATTAATTGCTGCAAAGCACATGGAACATTGTTTGGCATACTCAGTGAAAGTTAGCTGCTGTTATTATTAAAAAACTTAATGATCAGAGTATAAGGTAAATTTCAAGCTAGAAACCCCAAGTCACTAAAAAAAGGATATAAAGGTATTTTCCCTGTTGTACATTTGACAGATTCCAAACTTCATCATTAAGGAAAGACACTGTTGCTCCCTTGAGGAAAAGGCAGTGGCTATCTGGAGGATCCAACTTGGATAGAATGCACAAAGACTGGTCAATCACTGTGAGTTTAACAGCAGAAGGATGACTGGTATCTTGAGCCAGAAAAACTTCTACACAGATTAACTAATGCCCAAATCACAAATAATCAGCATGCAAACTTTAATAACACTATATAAACTACAGTGTTTTCTAATTCCTGGTTCACAATGATGAAACAGCAAGGTGGTAGGTACAGGGCAGATGCAGGGCCAGTCTAGAATCCTGGTGATGAGGTGGTAGTGGAGTGTGTGTGTGTCTGGCCACTACTGACCAGTCACCCTAGTGAGGATGTTGGAAAATCTATACAGATTGGTATATGAGAATTATGGTATATTTGCACATCAACCATGATATATACTTAAATTCTGTTGAAAATAACAATTTGAGGGATAACATAAATACACATATAGTTAATTCCAAACTGAATAATTAGGAAATTGTGATAATTTTATATTGAAAAATTTCACTACATAAGTACATGTCAACAATGTTACTAAGAAAAAAATCCTATTAAAAAATTGAGACGTTACTACCTTCCAAACCACTCGATGAAATTAATTATAATCATTCCAGTTGAAGTAGCTCCTCTACGAGGCAGTACTTCAACATTTGGTTGGCCAGCATGTAGCTTAAAGTAAAAAAGTTATATTTCTTTTAAAAATAGGACATAATTTAGGACTTTTATTAACTTTGCCAGACCTTGCCTCAGAAAAGACTTAGGCATTATCTTTGTTCCTCCCATCCCTCTGGTGTAATAGTAATGCTTTATTGTTTCTGACAGTACCTGAAGGTTTTCTTCTCTTGTCACCCAGTGGCCTCCAACACCTAGGAGTGTGATGATGTCATGCTTATGTGGTAGGAGTGGTAATTTTACAGTGGGTCCATCATCTTTACTATATAATCTCACTTACAAAGGAATAGTTAAAAAAAAAAAAAAAGAAGAAGAAATATATTTTATAATAACGTGCACAAAAATTTATTTCTCAAACAAGTTCTCGTTACTTCTTAATACAGAAATGAATTTTCCTTAGAAAAAGGCAGTTTATTCGGATACCTTAAAATAAATATATTTTATACTAAAACTAGTCATAAAATTTACACTAGATTCAATTTTAAATGAAATAACTAAAGATAAAGTCTATTTTCATTTGAATACCAGGCAAGATAACCACATAACTAAGTCTGATCATTTAATCATAACGTTAATAGCTTACTACATTGGGAAAAGCTGATTTCTTTTGGTAAATAAAGAACTCGTACACTCAAGATACTGACATAATTATATAAATGTCTGTTTGGAAAAGTGGAAAGTCAATGAAGTATACATTTACTTCCACTGACAAATTTTTCCTCTGATTTCAAATCTTGAATACTGGTTAAAAAGAAACATGATGGCAAATTCCCACAATAAAAGATGCATCAAAGGATAATGGGAGCCCTTTGCAGGCTTGCGAAACTTACTCTTTCTGTGCAGCGGCACGACCTAATTGTGTACAGATTAAGTGCTAAATAGATATCAACTAAAAAAGCTTAAGAAAGGTGAAAACGGAGCAAAATTCTGCATGTTTTTCAAACTGAGACTGCAGAAGTCCGCCACCCAACAGAGGGCAGCCACACACAGCAGAACCGCCTGAAAAAGCATCTGGGTGAAACCGGAACTGGTGTGTATCATCTGGGAACCACTCAGGAGGTGATGTTTGTGGGTTTCTTGCAGAGGTATGTCACTTGTAACTTAAATGCCAGTGCTTTACTGAAAGCAGTATTTTAAAAGAGCCCCCAGAAGTAGCCTTGCTCTGAAATTTAAGAACTGTGTAGCTCATCCTATAATTTAAAAGGCAAGATGTGCTCTCTTCCAGAGAGACAAGTTACAGTGGAACAACAGAGCTCCAATTTAAAGAGTCAAGTTTTTAGTTTAAAAAAAAAAAAAAAAAAAAAGTCATTCAATTTAATAATAATTTCCCAGTTATACATTTTTCTGAAATTTATCAAACTAAAAAATTACACAGGTTATACCAACCTCCAGCATCTAGGACAATATCTACTCCCAGGCCACCTGTTTCTTCCAGACAGCTTTCGGCAACATGGGCTTTCCCATTAGATACATCAATCACTCGGGCTGTAAAGGACAGGAAACCAGGTTATGTACTGTTCTTTATGTGACCAACACAGAGAAATCAAAGAAGAAGAAAAATCAAAGCAAATATATATCTGTCCTCTGAAATGAGTTAAGTAGTTCAAACAATTAGTGAATTTAAAGAAGGAAAATATCAACTCAAATTACACTTTTTCTGGTCTAACCAAATACTGGTAAGGATCAATTTAAATGAAGGGACTGGTATATTCAATAAAATAAAAATATAAGCATTCTGTGGACAAGGTGCTCCAAAGCTGGTCCACTGACATAACTGTTCTCTACAGCTACAGGATATAACTGCCAAAACTGAGAATCTGTAAGCCATACGGGTACACGTGTGTTAAGATGTAAACTCAAAGATTAAACAATTTTTAAAACATATTTGGATTTAATAGAGTTGGAGTCCCTGGGTGGTACAAATGGCTAATGCACTCAGCTGCTAACTGAAAGGCTGGAGGTTCAGGTCCACCCAGAGGTGCCTGGAAAGAAGGCCTGATGCTCTACTTGTGAAGATCAGCCATTGAAAGCCCTGCGGGATAGTTCTCTCACACACAAGGGCTTGCCATGAGGCAGAATCAACTCTACAGCAATTGGTACTTGTAAGAGCTAAAAAAATACAAAAATATATTTGTACAATAGAGTACTTACCTACTGTTATTGTTGTGTGCCCTCAAGGCAATTCCGACTCATAACGACCCTATATGACAGAGTAGAACCTCCCAACAGGGTTTCTGAGGCTGTAATCTTTACAGGAGCAGATTGCAAGGTCTTTTCTCTTGCGAAGTCACTGGGTGGGTTCAAACCACTGACCTTTTGGTTAGCAGCTGAGGGCTCAGTCATTGTGCCACCAGGGTCCGTCCTTATCTACAGGAGGCTGTTTTATCCTTTTCTCAGTAATAGAAATCCCTCCTACCCCACCTGACTCCCCCAAATCAAGACAACTCCTGAGGATAAGGAAAAAAAACATACTTTTAGCAGAGTTAGTAAAAATTAAACTAATGTTAACTGGCTGCTTTAAAGTATTAATTAGAACAATCTAATGTGAGAATTAAAAAAAAAATTACCACAACTTGAAGTGGCAAATGAAGGCATGTTTGTTTCATTTTTGTGTCTTTTACCACCTTGTTGAAGATAATTCCTCTTGGAGCTGCTCAGATTAGAGGTAAGTTCAACAATGATCTAAGTATTCCAGAGGCAGGGGCAGGGGAGGAGGACAGAAGGGACTCAAGCAACCCACGAAGGCAAATGACCAGTAAGAAACCTCTCCCTTCACCAGTCCTGTCTTACGTTCTTTTTTCTCCATTCTATTTCCAAATCTCTTTTTAATTTTTTCCCTATTTTCCTCCTTTCTGCAGCCCCTGCCTTCCCTTCCCTTTACTTGGTTATTTCTGTCAGAAGCATAAAGTTCCAATGGAAATAACATGGGCTTTAATGTGGGACAGGCCTGGGTTCAAATCCCATTCCAGTTAGTTTTCTAGCTGCAGATCCTTGGGCAAGCTAGAGAGATGCTGTTTCTTTTTAGTCACACAGGGTCGTTGAGGACTCAAGGAGGTAACAGGTCCCTTAGCACGCAACCAACTGTCCTTCTTGCCTGCCTTTCCTTTACACTTGGCTCATCTGCCTTTCTCTTCATCTGTTAGTTTTTCCATTCCTTTCTCCTCTCCTTTTGCAGTCCATATCGTCTTCCTCCTTTCCATATTCATTGTTGTTCCAACATGTTCAATTCTTTTCAGCTCTCCAGTCTCCATCATGTCCTGTTCATCATAAACTCTGTCTGACTGTGTTTCTGTGTAAGTGGGTCATCTCCCTCCCCTGTGTATCAGAGTGTAACATGCAAAGTGATGCAAAAATACATTTATTGACTAAAACCAAAGAGGCATCAAGTATTTCTCAACTGTGTCAAAGTTCACCTAATTCAAACTTACATTGATAACAATGCTGCAAAGATGGAAAAATGCTAAAAAGTGTAGGTTTAAAAAACTTAAATAATTAAAAACTATCAATTAAGTAAACTTGGACTCAGCACAGATACAAAGCACATTTTAAAAGTAGCTTTCATTTGGAATTTTGTTTTAGAAGTGCAGTTTTTAAGGTGATTTCTCTTCAGAATTTCATGTTTTAAAAGTTTGTGTTGAAGAGTACCACTCACCTATAGCAGGCCTAAGTCTTTCAAGGCACTGCTTGTCTTCTAGGCTGCACGCTGTAGAAATCACTTTGGCTCCTCTGTGGTGTGCTAACTGAATAGCTATTATACCAAATGCCTGTATGGAAAGAAACACACGATGGGTTAATAGATAAAGGGCAGAAGCCAGACCTAAGTTATTTTATAAAGTGTTTAATAAACTAATCCTTTAATATATTTTTAAATGATGTCTAAGAGAAAAAGAAAAAATCACGGACAAGTCAGTATGGGAAACATTTGGCTGACTGACTTCCTTCTTCAGAAGGGTGGTGGAAAAGCTGCTTGGGTCATATGTTCTCAAGGACGGGGGGCTGCATTCAGAAACATGGCTCGGAAAGAGAAAACTGGGTCTTTGAGGGCCTTGTCAGCTGCCTTATAAACTAATTACATAATGCATATGGTTGTCCAGTTAAAAAGTGCCAACCTTTTGCTGACCCCTGGGGAAGTTCAGAGCAACACTAATATCATGATGTTGGACACCAGGCTAAAGCCAATGCTGGAAAGTCCTGCCTTTTTGTCAGAGAAAAGCAGGGGAAAAGGCATATTCATTGACAGCCAGACTGAAAACAAAACTATAAATTCACTCTAAGTTGTGTAACATTTTAAAATTAGATTGTATTCTCATTTAGTGTCTTAAACTACTTTTTTGATGATACATATAAAATACTTAAATGAGCACCTTTGTGATCTCGTGTGATCCATCTATAAAATGGAACACTTTATTAGCAGTGAATGTGAGTGTGGGGGACACGATAGAAAATTGTTAACGAGCTCTAGGGTATGCCTTCAGAGACCCAGGAGCTATTTCAGGCTTTGTCGCAGGCATGAATAAAAATGGCTCGTCTGCTTTTTAAAGCACGAGCAGATTCAAAGTAATAGACTAATCACACAAAATCTAACTTTTGTCTCTATTGATAAAAAACTGATTATAACAAAATGGAGGTTTGGTAAAAAACCAACGAACTATTGGCAAGGAATTACATTAGCAAACGGCCGGACCATTTCTAAATTCACGAAGCTTCCTGTATTTTGGTCTGTTTCTAACACTCACACTTGCGCCATCCATTATCAGCACCGACTTCCCTGGGGAGAGATGAGAAAGGTAATGCAGAGCGGTATAGGCTCGCACTCCATCCCCAACTGTTCCAGCCGCTTCTGTCCATGTAACCTTTTCTGGTTTAGGAACTGTCACAAAGAACAAGAGGAAACAGCCATTAGCAAATGAGAAAACGACATATTAGAAAGTCCCCATCAGACCTCCTCCTGGGTCTGCTGACTTCTCCCTGTATCCACTCCCACCACTGCCCTGCTCCTGTGGCCTCTCACCTACATTCTGGTCTTCCTGTTTCCATTCTTGCCCATGCACAATCCATTCGCAACCTAGGAGCCAGTGTGTGTGTACTTTTACAGCTTTTTATTGTGAAATAAAACATACAGAAAAGCACATGAAACAAAGCACAACCAGATGAATACATGTAACTTCCACCCTGGCTGAGAGCGAGAACACAGTCATCACTAGCAGCTTCCTCTCTTCTCCAGAGGTCACCTTCATTCTGCCTTTGTTTCTTGCTCACCCTGACAGTTTATCATGCAAGTATGCACTCATAAACGGTAATAATTTTGCCTGGTTTTGAACTTCACGTAGTGAACTACTGTATCCATTCTTTTCTGTCTCACTTCTAATGCTCAACATTGTTTTAAGACGCATTGCTTTTGCTACACACGGTGGTGCTCTCATTTTTATTGTTTTATGGTATTCCACTATGAGTCGGAATCGACTCGATGGCAATGGTTGTTGTTATGTGAAAACACCTTCGTTTGGTTATCCATGCTTAAAGTGATGAACGTTTGTGCTGTATCCAGTTTCTCACAGTTACAAACAATTCTGTTAAGCATATTCTTGTATAAAAGATACTGTTACACAGATGCATGGTTTTCTCTAGGATATTTACCTAGGAGTGGGATCTCAGTTCTCAGGGTGTACTGCCTTCAGTTTTACTACACAATTCTGAAGTGGTTACATCAGTTTACTCTCCCACAATAGTGTATCAGAGCTCCAGTTCCTATGCACATCCTTGCCATCTCTTGATATTGTCAGACATAAATTTTTACCAATTGTGTGAGTGTGTGGTGGTTTCTTACTATGATTTTAATTTGCATTTTCCTGACTACTAATGAGGATAATAATCAGAAAAGCTGGACTATATAAAGAACAGGACATTCAGATTGGAGGAAGACTCATTAACAACCTGCGATATGCAGATGACACAACCTTGCTTGCTGAAAGTGAAGAGGGCTTGAAGAACTTACTGATGAAGATCAAAGACCACAGCCTTCAGTATGGATTACACCTCAACATAAAGAAAACACAAATCCTCACAACTGGACCAATAAGCAACATCATAATAAACAGAGAAAAAATTGAAGTTGTCAAGGATTTCATTTTACTTGGATCCACAATCAACACCCATGGAAGCAGCAATGAAGAAATCAAAAGATGCACTGCACTGGGCAAATCTGCTGCAAAAGACCTCTTTAAAGTGTTGAAAAGGAAAGATGTCACCTTGAAGGCTAAGGTGCGTCTGACCCAAGCTACGGTATTTTCAATTCGTGTCATAGGCATGGGGAAAACTGGACAATAAATAAGGAAGACTGAAGAAGAATTGACACCTTTGAATTGTGTTGGCGAAGAATATTGAATATACCATGGACTGCCAAAAGAATGAACAGATCTGTCCTGAAAAAAGTACAACCAGAATGCTCAGAAGCAAGGATGGCAAGACTACGTCTTACATACTTTGGACGTGTTAGAAGCCATCAGTCCCTGGAGAAGGACATCATGCTTGGTAAAGTACAGGGTCAGCGAAAAAGAGGAAGACCCTCAACGAGATAGACTGACACAGTGGCTGCAACAACGGGCTCAAGCATAACAATGATTATGGGCATGGCGCAGGACCAGGCAGTGTTTCGTTCTGTAGTACACAGGGTCACTATGAGTCGGAACTGACTCGATGGCACTGAACAACAACAGTGAAATTGACCCTCTTTCCGTATTTGTTGGCCATCTGGAATTCCTTTTATGAAGTGCCTGTTCAAATCTTTTATCAATTTTTCTGTTGTCTTTTTCTTACTGATTTATATATTCTGATGAGCCATGGTTGCACAGTGGTTAAAGCACTCAGCTGCCAACCAAAAGCTGCTGGTTCGAACCTACCCAGCCACTCTGCAGGAGGAAGATGTGGCGATACGCTCATGTAAAGATTTACAGCCCTGGAAACCCTAGGGGGCAGTTCTCCTCTGTTCCATAGGGTTGCTGAGTCTAAATCGACTCTACAGCAGGGGGTTTTCTTTATAAATTCTAGATGAGTCTTTTGTTCAGGTGTTGCAAATACTGTTTCCAACTTTTGGGTTCTTTTTTCAGTCTCTTTAATGCTGTCTTTGAAATAGACACGTCAGACTGATCTTATAAAACACAAATAACACAGGGAGACTTGTCTGCTTAAAATTCATCAATGGCTTTCCACTGCACTTAGAACAAAATGCGGACTTCTTCACATAGATAAAAAGCTCCATGTGATCTGGTCGTTAAGCTGTTCCTTAATATGTTTAAGTATTGTGCATATTTTGTACACTGAGTATAATTTTTCAAGTATAAGCAATCTTTCCTAATATTACCTAAAGTCAGCTTTATAGCACTTTTCCTAGTCTTTACAGGCTCTTTTAAATATTTTTCCTCTAATGGCAAAGCCACACAGGGCAGTCTGCATTGCATTTAGCAATAAAACCAATGCCATCTAGTGGGGAAGCCCAGCGCTCAAGCATACATGTTGAAAATGTTCCAATAAGCAAAGAAAGGCATGAAAACATATTAAACACCAGGTGATGGAACATAGACTATGCTATTCCTTACCAAACTCTTTCAGACAGTTATTCTCCCAATATTACTGATTATAAAGTGTGGTTCAGGATAATTAATTTGCCTAAGGCCACATTGCTAGTAAGTCTGGAAGCCCATCTCCTCTAACAATACATCCTCAATCTATGTATCGTGTACTTATATGGCATTTTCTTGGAACATCTTCCATCTTAAGAATTGGGACTACCTATGTTTTCATTAAAAAATCAAACTTGCAGTCCTGAAAAGGTCCTTAAACGATATTTAAGATTGCAAGGGCTTTAAGATGGTAAAATGAGGTTAATGTCAAGATTCTTATTTTGTGTTAGGTAGTCCACTGGTGTTTATAATACAAACTAACCAAATAAAAGGCGGCCATGTCTGGATTGATAATGAGTGTGCCAGGAGCCAAGAATTATTTCAATTCTTTATACACTGAGTCCAAAGGAATTAAAAGGACAAAAGTGCAGAAACTGTGCCAAATTTTGAATGAAAAATAAAATTATCTTTATGTTTGACAGAATGGCTTAAGAACCAAAAGTACAAAAGAGTCGGAAGCATTGTTTAGTGTTTTCATTCTATCCTCAATATTCTGCAGCAGGATTAATGAGACATTTTAGGGGTGTGTTTGGAACCTAGTTCCTTGGTTTGGTGAAAGAACAGACTTATATGAATTGAAGGGGACTGAGTGCGGAGACCTCATTAAGCAATCTCTGAGAAAGAATTAATAGGAAGTAACACACTTCATGAAAAGACAGTTGGGTGAACCAAAAATTTCCCACCTGCCAGCTTTCAGGGAACATACCGAAACCATTCCCTCCTTCACCCAGCACTGGAGCTGCAGCAGGCTTAGCAGTCATGGAGGTTGGTGTCCTCATTTGTAGATAAAATGAACATGCCCAGTATCTTGCCTAGAGGTCACACTGTTAGAGGCTGTTCTATAAATTCTTCTTACCAGGTCTTTTATAGGATTGTTTTTTTCATATACTTTAGTAGATTTTTTTTAACTATCATTCTGATTTGTAGAAAAATAAAAGGTCATTTGCGTAGTTTGCCTGTCTTGGCTTAAACTTTGTATCTAGAAAACTTTGCTAATCCCATTTGCTTTTTCTCTAGTCCATTTTATAATTCTTTAGTGTTTAGTAATGCCTACAGGAATGTTTTTTAAACAGTTCACCTGCTTTAACAATTTCGTTTTGGTTACTGAGTCAAACTTCAAGCTTGGGAATTCCAACTATAGGCTTTGGTTGACTCCATATATACACAGTTCTCAAAGAACAGAGGCAAGAAGGGCTAGCCTAGGAACTCTGGACCAAGAGCTGTAGAGCTTCCTGTAAAGCAGCCAGTGGCAGCCCTTAATTTTCAATCAGCTGATAACAAATCAGCCGCGCAGCTTCATCTTTCAAAGGAAGACGGACTCCCTATCTAGCTTTAACATACATATAGATGAGCACTGGCCTCAGATTTCTGGAAAACTGCCTTTTGAAATTTGATTTTTAATAAAATAGTGTTACTTGGAAATTTGAGAAACAGTAAATATCATTAAATAGAAGTTACTTAAAACTTTATAATTTTAGAAATGAAATGCCAAAGATTTGCTGGCCTAGTTTAGGTTACTGTATAGGCTCACATGAATAAGTTTACTATTCTTAATGGTCCAAAATCCAAATTGGACTTTGTTCCCATAAGGTTTGATTAGGGATTACATCATTTAAGAAAAAAACTTGGCAAACATTTTTAATGAAATAGCTCGAGAACACAAGAGCATATATCTTGACCTACAAAGAAGAATGTAATGAATCCCAGCCTAAGAAACAGATGGTTAGCAGGACCACCGGACTCCCTGTGACTCCACCCTGATCACATCTGCCTCCCTTCCCCACAAAGGTAACCTCCACCTGACTTTTTCATCCCCCATCTTTGTATCCTTAAAGAGTATATGCTTAATTTTATATGTTTTTGAGTTTTATAGAAATAGTATCACACTGTACTCTTTGACAACTTGCTTTTTTCACTCAATACTGTTGGTAAGCTTTATCCATCTTGATGTGTGTGGCTCTTATTCATTCATTTCACTGCTGGGTAGAATTCCATTCTAGGAATATCTCACAATGTAGTTACCCGTTCTTCTGGTGGTGGACATTTCAGCTGTTTCTAATGTTTTTCCACTATTACAAACCACGCTGCTGTGAGCTCCTGTGCACGTCTCCTGGTGCACATCACATTTCTCTAGGGTCTGTGACTATACATCATTACCTTTATTAGATAATGCTACATTATTGTCTAACGCATCTGTACCAGCTTACAGTCCCAATGCATAAAGGTTCTGGTGCTCATATCCTGCCAACCCTTGGGATGGTTAAATGGTTTAATCTTTGTCAACCTGGTGGGTGCCTCATTGTGGGGTTTATAATAACTTTACCCAAGGAATTTGGTCTTTGTCCTCGGTTCCTGAGAGATAATCTTTAAAAAATACCTTGGAATTTAAGTGTCTTCAATAAGGACTCCAGAACACACCTAACTAGGAGGTTCAGTGAGGTGATGAGGTGACTCTAGGGTCGGGGCTGGCCAGGCCAGAAAGGCCCATCATAATACCTCCTGATCACTTTGTGATACAGACTGACCTCGGGAGAGGGGCTGAAGTTTGCATTACATAACGAGACCCCTGATAAAAGCTCTGGAGCTCTGGCGGTGCAGTGGTTAAGAGCCTGGCTGTTAACCAAAAGGTCAGCAGTTCGAAACCACCAGCCACTCCTTGGAAACCCTATGGGGGAGTTCTACTCTGTCCTATAGGGTCACTACGAGTCCGAATTGATTTGATGGCATCAGGTTTGAGTGTTTTTTTTTTTTTTAACAAAAGCTCTGGACACAGAAGCGCCACGAGATTCCTGGTTAGCAGACAACATCTGTTCTCGGGAGGCAGCTCGTCCCTTTTTGGGACATCGAAGCTTTGTGTTGGGAACCCTCCCAGACCTCTATGTGTCTTCTTTATGCTGACTTTGATTCGCGTCCTTTATGTACACCATTATCTGTGAGTTGTTCCAGCAAATTATCAAACTCGGAGGAGGAGTGGGAGCAGGCAGGTCAGAGGTAAAGGGGACTGGGAACCCCTGAGCTTATGGCTGGTATTCTGAGGGGGGTGGAGGGTGTTATGTGGACTCCCAGACTTACGGCTGGAATCTGAAGTCTTAGGTCTACTTGGCAGTCTGGAGGACTGTATCCTTTAACTTGGGACATGTGACCTAGCTTATGGCTAGAATCTGAAGTCTCAGGCCTACCTGGCAGTCTGGAGGACTGTGTCCTTTAACTCGGGGCGTGTGGCCTAGCTCTGGGTGGTCAGGGTGAGAGGATGCAGTGCTGCGTGGGCAGCTGGTGTCAGAACTGAACAGAGAAGTGAAAAAGTGAGGATTTGGTATTTGGATTTGATTATTTTCACATAATAATGGTATCTCTAAGTGGTTTTAATTTGCTTTTCCCTGATTACTAAACAGATGCATCTTTTCACTATGATTTTATGACATACATTTAATTTAAATATTCAAGAAGTAAACTACTGTAAGAAAAATAAAACTAACATTTCAGTTAAGCTGAACACTGTTCAAAAGGTATTAGCAATAGCAACTAAAGATAAGTTTTCTTGATTCTTTCTTGTCTCAGACTCTACATATATGGTCTAGATTTTATCCATTTTTTATTTCAGTTAATAAATAAAAGAATCTGGTTAGGGAATAATTTCAGAGCCAAGGGATAAGCCACTTTTCAAAGATCTTACCATGCTCAATGTAAGTGAAACTTATAGGTCTATATAAACTTAAAGGTCTGTATAGACCTATTCAGTTGTATATGAATTTTATGGATCCTAATGATAAGCTAGAAAGTATTCATATGAGCAGCCACCAGTTATTCATTATGGACACCCACAGCAGACGCAAAGAAATCAAGATGTTTTAGACACCACACATCAGTGAAGACTCTAGAAGACTGAGCTGCCACATACCCAAGTAATGCTCATGTACTCTAACGACTTCACAAAGCCCAGGGTCTTCAGAATCCAGGGGTAAAATTCCTGAAAATTAAAATGAGACATTTAAGAGAAACAACCTAAATGTGAATTCATTCCTAATGAGATGACAGTGGTATTCTGAGGAACGTTCCAGTAATTACTGATGCAGGGAAGGGAGAGACTGCAGAAACCCGAAGAGGATCGTTCACTCACCGACGTGACACTGCAGCACCTGGGCTCTCTCTCTTTCTCTCCCTCTTCTCTACCTGAGTCACGTAATGACAATGCCCAACGTGTCTGGGGGGCCCTGGGTGCCGGGTTCTAACTGCCCCTGATGCACAGCTGCTTTCTCACGGTTTGGTTCCACGAGGCACCTCAGTATGCTTCCACTAAGATCCCATCTTTTTCCCTAAACTAGTCTGATTTTATTCTTGATTTCTTACAAAAAGAACCTTGAATAACAGACTGTCACCAACTTCTTGGGCAGTAACAAAGATATGAAAGACAGGAATCATAAATTCCCCAGAAAGATACCCGAGTCAAAGGCAGTACTATAAAAAGCTGAGAAAACCTTCCTACAAATACGTCCTCAACAGCTTCAAACATGCGGTAAGGCTAAACATTTTAAAAGTTTATATGAATATCGTCCATGGAAAAATGATAATTTCAAAGACTACTACTAAAGTCATATACTGTATATATTTGTGTAACTGCCCTGTACAGAAGTATGAATCTATGTATTTGCAAAAATAGTGCTAATTCTAAAACCAATAAATGTTTCAAGTAAATTTTTGTTCTACAAGAGTAGCAGGGAAGAAGCTCAGCAGGATCCAAGTGAGATGTGGAATGGAGCTTCTACGTAGCTAGCTAACTCCGTCCGCAGGCTCCAAACGAGATGTGGAATGGAGCTTCTCTGCAGCTAGCTAACTCAGTCAGCAGGCTCCAAACGAGATGTGGAATGGAGCTTCTAGATAGCCAGCTAACTCAGTCAGCAGGCTCCAAACGAGATGCGGAATGGAGCTCTACATAGCTAGCTCACTCAGTCAGCAGGCTCCAAGAAGATGACTTACGACCTTCCTTTTTCTCCAGGGCCTTTAATCCGGCCATAAACTGGGAAACTGTCAGAAAAAGGCTACACCAAGCATAGTAGCAACTATGGCTATCTTTCTATCTGTGATACTGTTCTACAGCCAAATATTGACAAGTGTGAAATGTTCTGTTATTGGTATCAAACCTCCAATTCTATTCATTAATACATATTTGAGAGCAAATTCCAAAAATCAGTAAAGTACTTCTACACGATGCAAGGTCCCAATGAGCATTAATGATTGTATAGAGAAGACAGTAAAATACATGGTTTGTAATACAGGACTGTGGGTTATAACTTACCTACTACTTCATCGTCTGGTTGAAAGAATGATACCTTGCTTCCAACTAAAGAATGGGGGAATTAATAATTAATATTATGAAGTTACTCAGTATAATTCTTATTTAACTATTAAATCAAAAGATCCTAAGGTTTATAAAAAGTCACTAACTCAGAGAAAAAGCCAAGAACTTCAAGGACATTTTGATGGTGTAGAAGGACTGTAGGATTGAATACTATGAGTCTGGATTCTCTGGAAAATCTAGGCCACGTGGTTGTTGACACCATGGAGAAGGATGTCTCTCTCTGTGGCTCTTGTGCCTAGCTGGTTAACTTTAAGGATGAAGGAGTGAGGGAGAGTAGTACCCTCCACGGCTCCTATGATGATTATGTTCACCTCTCCTGTGGCTAGCCCAGGCTACCGTTATTTTAGCTGGAGAATTTCAGACACACTATGAGGAATTCTGGTTAAGAGTCAACTATAAAATAACTTTAATTTTGGATTATAGAGATAAATTCAGGCTAGGTGCCAAGAAATTTCTTGGAAGTATATAGAAATGATAAAGTTATGTTTTCTCCGCACGTCTCTACCATCTGCCAATTCATTTGATTTTGGTTTGAATAGTTACAGGAGGAAAGGGGAGGGGGAAAAGAAAAAGAACCAAACATTGCTGAATGCCTGCTTGTGCCTAGCATTTTTAGTATGCTGTCACATCTAATCTTCATGACATATCCATGAGGTAACTATGATTACTCCTATTTAATAGACGAGGAAACGGAGGTGAGGCAGGGAAGGAAGGTGGAATTTTGAGAGCTGGAAGCAGCTCGTTGGCCGGCTGTGAGCAGAATGGCCTAGAACTCATCTGCTGGCACTCAGCAAGTCACTGTCTCATGTTCCTATTTCACATCCTCCTTTCGTAGTTTGTGTCGTCTTTGTGCTGTCATTCCCAAAACTTCTGATCCCGTGCACTCTTCTCTGTCCCTTCTGCTGCTGATCCTAGTCCCCTTAGGACGACTTTGGCCCTTTTTTCTTGGATTCCTTCAGAATCCCCTTCTTTTAATTGTCCCTTGAATTGCAGTATTGCCAAGGGCTCCGTGCTATGTTTGCGTCTCTTCTTCATTTCTAATCTTTGCTTGGGTGAACTCATCAACTCTATTACTTCAGATACAACCTATATGTTGACAACTCTCAAACATACACATTTCCAGCACGGATCTCTCACTCTTATGCTTAAACTTGTATATAATTACCTATTAGATATCTAGTGAGATTTCACTTAGTCCTTGAACTCAACAGGTATAAATCTGAACTCACCATCTTCCTCCAAATTGGATCCTCTTCCTTTGTTATTTGGCGGCACCAATTCATACCTTAACCAGAATCCTGGAAGTTTTCTCCTGTTTTTTATTACCCAGTTGCAGTTATGTCCCATTGACTTCATCTCCTCAGTATTTCTGTCCCACCGCTCCACTTTTGCTGCCACTGTCTCTTGCCTGTGGATCTCCCACCCAACCAGTCCAACCAGTCCTCTTGTCTGCCATGGTCTGCCTCAAATCTTCCCCTCATATGGCCACTCTAACGAGTAATCGCTCTGAAGCCCAATCTGACCAGGATGCTTCTGCGCACAGACACTTCAATGGTTCTTCATCAACTACAGGATGAAGTCCACGTGATGACATAAGAGGCTCCCCATGGCTCTGGCCCTGGCTACCCTCCTGCCTCATTTGTGGGGACAAGGATTTAGTATTCACATCAACCTTAGAATACGTTTTTTCTAATATCCTTTATTCTATACTCAAGGGAGAATTTTCTTGACAAAATGTTTCTCTGCTGCTAAGTATCTCCCCACCCCTCACCACCCCACCCAGGACTTTATTTGGCTCCAGCAATATGGAACTCTTTGTAATTCTTACGTATGTCACATTATAACTTGCTTCTTTTCTTTGCTCACGATGTGCACTCTGCCGAGTGTGATTCTCCTCGCTGTCCTTACTGCCTGGCCAACTTCCTCCAAGAAGCCTTTCCTCCCTCTCCTGGCTGGGTTGGGTTCCTCTCCTTGGAGCTTTCGTGATAACCTGTTACTTTGTGTGTGCCTGTCTCTCCCCTAGGCAGTGAACTCTTTGAGGGCAGGGACTTTGTCTTATTTATCTTCATATTCTAAGCACCTAGCAAGTGATCAATCATTTTCTGGCTATTATACTTCTTATTTTTTTCTACCGTCGGGGCAGAAAAAAGGAGACAAAATGAAATTATCATTTAGCTGTGTCAGAAGATTACGTTAAGGAAAAGTATCAAATATACTGTAGATTAAAACCAAAGGTAAACTCAAGTATAGTCAATCTACATTATCACATATTCACTCATTCCCATATGTAGTGAGAGCAAACATAATGATTGATCATGACTACCTATTAGCAGTGAATATTGAGTAGGTCTGTTTAGAAACAAATTATTTCAAATATTTAGGCTTACTGTTCTGCATATTAAAACCATTATTTATTAAGTAAAACTTAAAATACTTTAAGGCAAGTATTATTTCTCCCCGTAAAACCTAAAACCAAACCTGTTGCCATCGAGTCGATTCTGACTTCTAGCGACCTGTAGGACAGAGCAGAAATGCCCCACAGAGTTTACAAGGAGCGGCTGGTGGATTCGAACTGCTGAACTTTTGGTTAGCAGCCAAGCTCTTAACCACTATGCCACCAGGGCTCCACCAGAAACCATAATTCCCATTTTTGGATGCACAAACTGCTTAATGTTTAAATGCTCAATTTTAGGCAAACCTAAAAAATTTAATGGAAATGTAGTTAATATTTTATGCATTTAGCCAAAGCTAACCCTACAAAAGTAATGTATTTGTTTGTAAACATCATAAAGAGGACAAACTGACCATTCTATTCAATATATAATTACTCATGGATTTAAATATATAATCCCCAAATATTTACTGAATAGTAATAAGCCTGTCAATTATAAAACACCATTTACGTCCCATTTCTTTTTTAATTAAAAAGGAAAATATTTCTATATGATTATATTTTACGTTTGAAAGAGTGTATTTAACTTTATGTACTGGCAAACCAATTAGCTAGGACTTCATTTCTTTTACCTTAAAAATACAGATATTTACATCTATAAACTTACCATCTAATACAATTCCAGCAATTTCTCTCCCAACAGGAAAGAAATCCTTCTCCATCTTCATTTCTGCCAGAAGCTAAATCATAACAAAAGCTGTTAACATATTCTTGTCAAAAATAAATCCTGGCCTCTTCTCATACATGAGAAAAGCAGGAGTAAAAATCAAACCACAGAAAAAGCAAATATGATTCAATTTTTGGAATTAAGAGTTTAGTACCTATCTTAAAGCCAAAGCAAATAACTCTACAAATAGGTGTCTTTGGAGAGGGGAGGAAACCAAGAGTTTGCTGAAGAACTAGCTGACATTTAAGGCAGGGGTGTTCGTATTCCAATCACCGTTAATATGCTTTGTTGAACATCTTTACTCTGCCAAGTATGCAGGGAAATTATGGCCAGAATTGCTTCTTGGTTGGCTAAACACTGCTTCCCAGTCACCTTGATCAGGTGGGGCCGGAGAGTTTGAAGAAAACACCGTTGAGGTAACGGGGACGTGGTCAATGAGAACAAAAGGCTCTTCATTTCCACACTCTTTCAAATCACTTGAATTTGGGCTGGGGTGCAGCTGGGCAGAGGTGACAGATACATGGAGGGAAAGTGCCATATGATTCCAGACTCGTGGTGACTGAAGGTTCTCTTCTTAAAAGATAAATTATTTTTAAGAAACTAGTGTTTTGTTAGATTCTGACCAAATTTTAAGTATCTGTCTTTTATAGTGATGGAGTGTACTGAGATAAGGCTGTAGTTTAAGTCACTGGCACATACACTTTTAAGTTATAACGATACTAGAGATGCTGAACGTATTTGTAGATATCATAAATTTATTTTACGGACAGTAAGTAAAAAGAAATGAACAGTTCTCTTGAATATTTCCTTTAATTTTCAATTTGTGGTTTCCTGTATATACCTGTCAGAAAAGTGTCTTTTTCAGTGTAGAACTTGATACTTTTCCTAAGATGTTCATATGACATTCTTATAGAACTACTGGGCATTTTACATTATTTCACCAATGCACACTTTTGCAGAATTATAATTGTGGTTTCAACAATTGCACGTTACCTCCTTCACTTACAAAAAGGCTTTTCTTATTTTACTACACAGTTTTCATAACTTATTTTTAATAGTTGTGCAGTATTTTATTAAATTGATTTTACCACAATTTACCATTTCCTTCTGTTAGACATGAAGATTATTTCTTATGCTGGAATTTTAATGGATTTTTCACAGCTTTGAAAAAAATGTCTTGGAAGGGCTGAACACAGAACACCACAGACAATGACTAGTGCTTGCATTCTTGGTGAGAAGGCTTTAGAGGATCTCACTCATTCACTTCTCAGATCACACTCAGGTTCTAGAGTTGCCCAACAGAAGCCTATAACCTTGTTCTGTAATTCCTCTAAGTCTGACTTTATAGAAAAAAAACCTTGTAGATTTAAAAGTTATGTTGACATTATAATCCAATACATCAAAGTTCCCATAAACTATGGTATTCATCTTTCAAAAACAGTAAAATGGACCTGCTCTATTTATCATGGCACATTAATCCATAGTTTATTTAACTTTTGGAGACTTGCCACGTATTTCATAGTCAATAATGAAAGATTCCTGTGGGGCTGGGCGGTGGAGAGAGAGACAGGGATGACTAGAGGAGGAACAAGAACCACATCGAAAGCCATTAAATGGAAATATCTATAGAAGAGATGGTTAGCAAATTAATGGACTAGGTTTTTAGTTCCTATCTTTACGGTATTTATAAAGGTAATTTCTTCCTTGATTATAGGCCTGAGTAATTGCAAATGCTCAGCCTTTCACAATGTGAAGGAGTTTTTAAAATATTTTTATATAATGATACAAAATACATGATTTCAATTAGACTAATAATTTACCTTAAAGTAGGAATACACCAATGTACATAATTTTTTTTCTAGTTGTTCTAGTCTTCTAAGGATGCTAATTATTTCTTGGCACTCAGACGTCAGTTATTGTATCTGTACACAAAGTATAATATAAAATTCTCATTTGACTTTTGGCCAAAATAAATGCACCAAATACCTTTGTGTTTATCTGGCTCAGAGCACAAGCTTTAACTTGAAGTTTCACGAAGTTATCTTCTGTAACAGGAAGATTTTCCTAGAAGCAAATAATAACATAATAATGCTTACACATTCCTTTAAGAACCTGCCTTTATATTGTGAAAATCTGACACATGGTTAACAAAATCTAATAGAACCCAAATCTCATAGCTAATTTAACTTAAAAAGCTACAAGTAATTATCTAAGAGTACTGGCTATACCACGAACGGCTAAAAGAACGAACACATCAGTCTTAGAAGAAATGCAACTAGGATGTTCACTCGAAGTGAGGATGGAGAGACTTGGACTCGCTCACTTTGGACACGTCCTCAGGAAGGACCAACCTCTAGAAAAGGACATCATGATTGGTAAAGTAAAGGGCCAGTGAAAATGACGGAAACCTTCAACGAGATGGACTGACAGCAGACGCAACAACGGACTTAAACACAGCAGCGATCCTCGGGATGGCCAGAGCCAGGTACCATCTCATTCTATCATACTTGGGGTCTCCATGAGTTGGAGCCAGATTGATGGCAACTAACAGTAACAAAAACAATACAATCAAAAAAAGAATAAAGGAAATTTTGAGGTAAAATTTTAAAACCTTAGGGTTCATATTTTGAAAAGTACTCAGAAACCAACATGGTTATATGTGTAGACAATAAACTTAGGATGACCAAGTAGAGCAACAAATACTGTATTTCAAGCTAAATAATCTCAGAGCCTCAGACGTCCACACTTCAGAGACATTCTTAACACATACACATCACATACAGTACTATCTGACGCTGGAATTTTCTTAATGTTACAAATGAAGTTCTTTAAGGTCACTTGTTTATCTTTTCCTCCTTTAACATCTGTCTTGGACATTTCAGCATGCCCATGGGATTCTGGGGTCAAAATACAAACTGAACTTAATGGGGCTTAATTTTCCCTCCTATTCCACAGCTAGATACAACTTGAAAGGTAAAAAATATGCTAAGCTCAGGCACTCAACACCATCTACCTATATTATTAAATGTGATATCCCTGCCCTAATAGCCATAACCTGGAACCAATAATGAAAATGTTTTGTTCAACCTGGTATCCCCAAGTTAGATCAAAAGTTAGCCAAGAAGAGCTGCATGCACAGGCCCTCCTAGGTTTCTGTCAAGGGGATTATGTTACTTCTCACTGCTTTATTTGCCACCAACACAATATTCTGGTATTATCTTTTTAAATCTGAAGATTTGGTAATATTGGGTGCTACTGTGAAAATATTCAGTAATACTGATGAACCTGTGAATTTTATTCATGACTGTGTGAACCAGGAAATAAATGATTCTTTCCAAGAGCAATCAAACCTCTTGGACCCTCATCCTGACCTAATCACAGAAGCCAAACTGTCTGAGATTCAGACTTGTGATCCAAAATGATTTTGGAGTTAGTGAAAAGATTACAAAGAGAAAAACAGACTGTGTTACTGACCCAAGAATTCCTATTACTACTATGAGATGCTGATATAGATATAGCACTTCGTTTTCTTCCCTAAATTTACAGTGGAATGATTTTAGCTTGCCAGAATAATCACCAATACATGAAAATCCCATCTATGATTAAGGTAGTCAAAACACTAGAAATCATTTAAAGTTTAGTGAATGAGGTAATTTTGCGAAGTCCAGAAATTAGTATAGAAAACAATGCATTCCTACTTCTTTCATTCATAATAGGAGAGAAAGTATTTTTTGAAATATGGCTATAATCTGAAAACCCACTTTACTGTGGCATTCAAAATAACCTGGGTTTATTTTGCAACATATAAAAAAAGACTATTTAGAATAAGGTTGTTCTGTTTTACTAGTACCTTTCACACCACCATCAATATCCAGAGGAACTAAAAAATCTCTTTTGTGGCAATTCTTTTAAAAATATATTTATATTACAATATGGGCCAACATTTTCACATAAACATTAAAGAAAAATGATTGGAGGAGTTTCATTTAAATAAGTTTTGTTCATTTAGTTCCACTCAAAATAACTTATAACAGGTCATTTAAAATAGACTCTATTAGTTATAGAAGCTATACTATCTTCTTTCAGTTAATGATTAAACAAGTTTTCTTACCCTTTCTTGAAATACAAACGTTATTTCTTCATTTGTGGAATTCTGCTGAAAATACAAGCCTTTCATAGTCACCTAAAAACAAGAAAAAGGACGAGACAAACATAAACCCTCTTCTAGATCCAATGAATGCAAAAAGTGAACAATTTTACTGGAAAAGGGAAAATGACAACCATAAATGCATTCTTCAAATAAACAAATTTAGGGTTCTTTCTTGAAAGGGATCAAGTAAGAGAATATGCAACAACCTGTGTGCAAATGGGTTTACATTTCAACCTTTCATTACAAAGGCAAGCGCAGGCCTAATTTCACTTTCCCATTCAAAAAAGAATATTAGATGTACTTAGGAAAAGAACATCCTAGGAGGAGCAAGCAGCTCAGTTTTATTTACCAAATGTGTCATTTTAAGAGCTTTAAGACTTAAAGACCACTCAAAAGGGAAAAGTGGACAATCAAGACACTTGTTGAAACTGTGCCCCTAATTCCTCTTACCCTCTATAAACCATTTCATGGACGTCTTTAAAACTCTTATGTGAACTTCCTGAAGCATCTCTAAGGGTTTTTTCTTTAATTTTCACAATAATTCTATCGGCAAGATTATTTTTTTAAAGATAAATTTTACAGAAGTAGAAAACACATATAGGAAAGTGCACAAATCCTAAATGTACAGCTTGTTGAATTTCACAAAGGGAACGTGTCCACATGACCAGCAACCCGATCAGGAAACATGACCAGACCGACAGAAGCCCCTGGACCCCTCTCTAGTAACCACCTTCACCTCCCAAGGCCACCCACTCTTCTAACAGCACAGATTCGTTTAATCTGCTTTTGAACTTTATATAAATGAAATCATACTCCTTTCACTCAGTACCGTGTGCTCATCCATGTTGTTGCCTGGAGTTGTAGTTATTTCATTCTCATTTCTGTGCAGTAACAAATCACTACTGACCCATCCCACCATAGATGGACCTTTGAGTTCTTTCCAGTTTGGGGCCTGTATTCGTTTCCTAGGGCTGCCATACCCAATGACCACAAACTAGGTGGCTTCAAGCAGACAGTTATTCTCTCACAGGTCAGAAGGCCAGACGTGCAAAACCAAGATGTTGGCAGGGCTGGTTCCTTCTGGAAGGTCTAAGGGAGAAACCACTCCATGCCTCTCTCCTAGCTTCTGGTAGTTGCTGAATAACCATTCCTTGGCTTGTAGACACATCACTCTAATCTCTACCTCCATCTTCACATTGCCTTCTTCTCTGTGTGTCTTTTTATGCCTCTTTTAAGGACATTCAGTGGATTTATGGCTCATCTTAATCCAGTATGGTCTCATCTCTATCCTTGTTTTAATTACATCTGCAAAGATGCTATTTCCAAGTAAGATCACATTCTTTGGGGGGACACTATTCAACTCACTGTAGGGCTTTTACAAATTGTCCTGTTAAGAACATTCTTGTACATGCTCTTTTTAGAGAAGAAACCAAGTCTTCTGGTGGTTAAGGCACACACCTAGGGTCTCATAGCACCATCAGGGCCAGAGCTAAGTCACAAACCAGGTTTCAATTACTCCAAAGTCATTATTCTTAACCACTACAGTTAATGGTTTCCCAATGAGCTGCTAACATTCCATATATCTTTTAAAATTAATTCTATATACTTTAGGATTAATAATTTTTAAGTATTTGCTGATAGAACTGTGAGGGGTTCAGTGCAAAATGAAAATATGGGGAACTGTGCTCAAAAACGTTTAAAATTTTAAGATGATGACAGTGGGTCCCCGCTGAGCACGAGACCCAGTATGACTGTACAGGCTGGACACCCACATAGCCAGCCCTGCGTGCTGAATTTTAGTGGATCTTATGGATTCATATGGAGGGTTGGTACTGAATGTAGGTGAGCTATGGCTGCTGCTTTCCAGTATGTTATGATCAAACGCTGGAACTAACAGAAAAAAATATATAATCAAGACATATATAGAAATTATATATGTAGCACGTATCAACAACGTATATAAAAAGATTGAGCTAAGTCGAAAGATAATTTGCTGAAGATCATTCAGAAGTGGCTGCAGCAGTGTACTGACAGGGAATTGCCAGAAATTCAGGACAGATTCAGAAGAGGATGTGAAACAAGGGATATCACTGCTGATGTCAGATGGATCCTGGCTGAAAGCAGAGAATACCAGAAAGATGTTTACCTGTGTTTTATTGACTATGCAAAGGCATTTGACTGTGTGAATCATAACAAATTATGGATAACATTGTAAAGAATGGGAATTCCAGAACATTTAATTGTGCTCATAAGGAACCTGCACATGGATCAAGAGGCAGTCATTCAAACAGAACAAGGGGATACTGCATGGTTTAAAATCAGAAAATGTGTGTGTCAGGGTTGTGTCTTTTCACCATACCTATTCAATCTATATGCTGAGCAAAGAATCCGAGAAGCTCGGCTATATGAAGAACGGGGTATCAGGATTGGAGGAAGACTCATTAAGAACCTGTGTTATGCAGATGACACAACCTTGCTTGCTCAAAGTGAAGAGGACTTGAAGCATTTACTGATGAAGATCAAAGACCACAGCCTTCAATATGGATTACACCTCAACATAAAGAAAACAAAAATCCTCGCACCTGGACCAATAAGCAACATCATGATAAATGGAGAAAAGATTGAAGTTCCCAAGGATTTCATTTTACTTGGATCCACCAATCAACACCCATGGAAGCAGCAGTCAAGAAATCAAAAGACTCACTGCATTGGGCAAATCTGCCGCAAAAGACCTCTTTGAAGTGTTGAAAAGGAAAGATGTTACCTTGAAGACTAAGGTGCACATGACCCAAGCCATGATATTTTCAATCGCCTCACACGCATGTGAAAGCTGGACAATGAATAAGGAAGACTGAAGAAGAATTGACGCCTTTGAATTGTGATGCTGGAGAAGAATATTGAATATACCATGGACTGCCAAAAGAATGAGCAAATCTGTCTTGGAAGAAGTACAAACGAATGCTCCTTAGAAGCGAGAACGGTGAGACTACGTCTTACATACTTTGGACATGTTGTCAGGAGGGATCAGTTCCTGGAGCAGGACATCATGCTTTGTAAAGTACAGGGTCAGTGAAAAAGAGGAAGACCCTCAATGAGATAGACTGACACAGTGGCTGCAACAATGGGCTCAAGCATAACAATGATTGTTGAGTGTGGCACAGGACCGGGCAGTGTTTTGTTCTCTAGTACACAGGGTTGCTATGAGTTGGAACCAACTCGACGGCACCTAACAGTAACAGCAAAGTCAGAAGATTAATTCTGGCACTTACGAACCCTTTGGTTACAGAAGGTCTGTTTGTGTGTCAGTGTGCTTGGTGGGAGAGTCCAGGGGGAGAGGGGAAGAAGGTAAGCATAAGCAGTAATCAGTTGCTGTTGAGTCGATCCCAGCTCATGGTGACCTCATGTGTGTTACAGTAGAACTGTGCTCCACAAGGTTTTCAATAGCTGATTTTTCAGAAGTAGACTGCCAGGACTTCCTTCCAAGGAGTCTCTTGGGGGACTCAAACCTCCAACCTTTCAGTTAGCAGTCTAGAGCGTTTTAACCATTTGCACCACCCAGGGACTCCTAAGCGAAGACACAGCAGCTGTGTATACCCTACAACATTAAATCTAACCTCTTCCGCCCAGCTGTCAAGCCTATTCTACCTTACTCCCCCAGAGTATGATTTCACACCATATGGTCACCCCTGCCTCAGGGCTTCCGGGCACTGCTTGTTCACTGAGTGAACAGATTCTGCTAAGTAAATCAAGTCCTACCCACTCCCTGAAATGACTGCCAGTGACACTCAACCCACCCCATCTGCACCATGCTTCTATAGTTCGTTACACACTAACATATATACAACCTTACCTTATTTACTTACGAACAAGGAGGCTTTCCCACCTGTTATTATCAGTAAATAAATAAATCTCTGCTCCAGCTCAGCCTGGAGCTACTTGGGTTCCCTTTTTTGTGAAATGGAACAATCAACACCTTGATTTCAAAGATCTGCTTTTATGACTCTGAAAACCAGTTTTCTTTGCCCACTGCATCTTAATACATATGATGAGCAGTCACATGCACCTCACACTGTGCCCCAATTTCAAAGATCCTGGAAGGTAACTGCTTGCCAGAGTCCCCTAAAGCAAATTATCGTATATAATATAGCCAATATTTTTAGTCAGCTCATGATAAATAATTCCTCCAAAGTAGGTAGAAATCGGCCTGGCTGGGTAGAAAGAAGTAATTTTTGGTTGATCCAATAAATAACTGTGTAGGATCAAAAATTAAAAGTGCTGAAAGGCAGAGATGTCACTTTGGGAACTAAGGTGTTCTTGACCCAAGCCATGATATTTTCAATCACCTCATATTCATGTGAAAGTTGGACAATGAATAAGGAAGACTGAAGAAGAATTGATGCATTTGGATTACGGTGTTGGCGAAGAATACTGAATATACCACGGACTGCCAGAAGAACGAATAAGTCTGCCTTGGAAGAAGTACAGCCAGAGTGCTCCTTGGAAGCGAGGATGGCAAGACTTATACACTTTGGACATGTTATCAGGGGGGACCAATCCCTGGAGAAGGACATCACGCTTGGTAAGGTAGAGGGTCAGTGAAAAAGAGGAAGACCCTCGATAAGATGGAATGACACAGTGGCTGCAACAATGGGCTCAAACATAGCAACAGTTGTAAGGATGGTGTAGGACCGGGCTGTGTTTCGTTCTGTTGTCCACAGGGTCGCTGTGAGGTGGAACTGATTCGACAGCACCTAACAACTACAGGATCAAAAATATCCTCAAACAGAATGAAAAGTGTTTTCATAAAAGTGGCCAGAAGAAAACTGAAGAAATACCAGTTATTTGTTTGGCAAATCCATAACAAGAATACTGAGTTCCTAACCCTATGAAAATGGCAGAATAAATGGTATTCAAGGCCAAATGGTGTCTTAGGCAATGGTCCACATTAAGTGGAACACTCAATGTATTACTTAATACAATTTTTACTGAATTAAAAGATACCGGCACATGAGAAATAATATAACTAAAGCCTTACAGAATACAAATTTAAAATGTATCATACTTATTTCTAAGAATGAATATCATGTAACTTCAAACTTGTATTCTACTGTAAACATTGTGATATCAAAAAAGTGCTATATAAAACTTTTTAATGAAAATAAGCCTGTTTAAAAATGTAGGATAGCATGCCCTATGAAAAACAAAGGTTTTAGAATTTACAGGCATGTCAGATTTTAAAAATATTTGCCATGAGTCCACATATTGAGGATTATGTTTGTAATACTTTTAAATTTTACAGTGGCTACACATTAAATATATTTTGAAAATCATGAGAAAGAATAATTAAAAAATGTCTATTTTAAATAATTTTTGTTACAAAGCAGAAAAGAGGATTTTGCATAAATTAAACATGACTATAAATAACACTTCAAAAAATAGTCAATAAAAGTAATGGTTTAAGAGATTTTAAAAAAATTCAATAATTTTTAGTACAAAGCAGAAAAGAGGATTTTGTATAAATTAAACACACGTATAACACTTCAAAAACATAGTTAATAAAAGTAATGGTCTATTTTGAGAGATTTAAAAAATCAGTGGGAAGAAATTTCAAATGGCTTCCCCTCCCTTATAACAGCAACATGAACTCCTCTTGCCCTTCTCCTGCTACACTCAACCCCCCAAGGAGCTCATCTATTAATAATTGTAAATAAACCCTCTAACATCATTCCTTATTGACACCTTCAGACCAAGGGTGTCCAGAGTATCAGATCAATCTCAAATTCAAGAGACATACAACTGGACTCATATTTCCCCAGAAGAAGAGTTTGTTCTTTGTAGTCATAATTCCCTCCTCTGTATTATCAACCATAAAGCTTCGTTTCCCTTTAGGACGTCCTGGCTCATTTTCAAGGGCCGTCATCTTAGCACAGGCAATACGCTACTATCTCAGTACGGTAGGCCTGGGTGACGGCCACAGACTGGTGATGGCCTCAATTCACTACCTCACCCAACCCATCAGCCACCCTCTGGCCAACTCAGTTCCTGAAAAGTTCAACTCATATGCTCTTATTTCTATCACTTCTCAACACAAACTTCAGGTTCAGGGTTCCATCGTAATGTCTCTCATATTTTATTCTAAGGAAAGCAATGATATACAGTATTGTCAAGCAGCTAAGCTACAGAAAAACAGACGAAGTCAACTCGGCAACGTGGCCTCAGATGCTCAGGCCCTTGGCTGTGCATCCGGTGCCCTATTCCCTGTCCCGTCCAGGCCTGGTGCACAGCGTGGATAATACCTTCTGGATTTTCAGGGGGAAATCTTCATCTCCATTTTGATCATTTGACTTATTAAATTTTAACAGTATTCTTATTCACCTGTGAGACTTTTCGTATGTATCTACAAATCAGAAAAAGAAGTCTGTCAAACCATGCATCCAGGTATTTGGTTATAAATAGGGTCAGCAGAATCAAAGCAACCGGCTGGCGGTTAGGTTCAGGTACTGTATACTGTACACTGGCAAGCTGCAGAGGATGGGAGCCCTAAGCAGACATGCCAGCTCTGCTCCCTCAGTCAGACGGAGGCGAATGCTCGGCCACAGCAACTGCAAGACAGCTTTACGCTGGGGAGGTAGCAGTCTCTGGAAATCTGTATACTCTAAGGAGACTCAGCATAAGGAATGAGTACACAGGTGACACTTGCTCCTTACAACTGCACTGCTCTCTTGTGCCTGTTACAAGATGTACGTGTTGTTGTGTATATTTTCACCAAAAAAACCCCCAAAAAACAAAAGAGCTGGCCCTTCCTGCTGCTGTAATGCTGCTGCTGATGGCTGAAGCTGGAATAAATCATGAGGTGAACTTGGGAGTGCAGGGAATGCACTATGGAGCAACAAGATAGAAGGAGCCTGGGTCCCTAACATGGTGGAACCACCCATCAGCCCTGGAATGCCTACCTTGACTTTTATATGAAAGAGAAATAAACTTTATCTTATTTAAGGCCCCCCCCCCCAAAAAGATGACACAGGAGACATTGTCACAGCGGCTCACACCGAGCTAAACTCTGGAAAGCAATCATGTTACAAGAATTTTTTACTTCCATGTTTTAGGTAGATAATTGGAAATTTTAAAGGAGGAAACTGCATGAAATTGCTTAGTCCCTGTCCCTGGAGAGATTTAACACAGGCTGGACGTGCACTTTGATAAAGGCAGTTCAAGCAATCGTTGAGTGGGATTGGGGGTAACAGGACCATTAAGGTCTGTTTTTATTACAACAATACACATTTCTATGAACGTTATACCTGTTCGGCATAATCTCTACATTTATGCAACCTAAGACATAAAGATAGGTGAAGAATCAGAAAACAAAAGTCTTCCTTTGTATCAAAAAGCTTCAAGCAGAAGCATAAAAGGCAGCTGCTAGGAGAGGACTGCACATTGCTGCCGACCTAAACAACAATGGTTCCTAAATGTTCCAATCTAGACAGTGGATCCCAACAATGGCCTCTTCTGATTCCCAACAGAACTCATTACACTTCTCTGACAGCTTTACTTTTGTCTGTTGATTCACAAAATACATTTTTACTCAAGAGTCCAAGATTTCTCGAATGAGGCGCTTCCCATGGAGCAGAGTTCTACTCTGACACACACGGGGTCACCGTGAGTCACAAGGGACTTGACGGCAAGTGGTTTTTTCTCTACCGACTATTACTGCAGTGTGTAAATGCTTACTGAATTTTCCAGTTCACTATAGGATCTTGGAGGCATTGGTGGTTCAGTGGCAGAATTCTTTCCTTCCACGTGGGAGAGCCAGCTTGATTCCTGGCCACTGTACCCCCTGTGCAGCCATCACCCACCTGTCAGTGGAGGCGTGCATGTTGTTATGATGCTGAACAGGTTTCAGTGGAGCTTCCAGACCAAGATGGAAAAAAGGCCTGGCAATTTACTTCCAACAATCAGCCAATGAAAGCCCTATGGAGCACAGTTCTACTCTGGCACACATGGGGTCGCCATGAGTCTGGTGCTGACTCAACAGCACCTAACAAGAAGCATCTAGAAGAAACCACTGTTTACTTCAGATATAAAATATGAATTGTAATTTGATTAAATCTTTACCAATATGTTCAAAATCAAGAGAAAATAATTACATAAAATGCATCATATTTACTATAATGTACAAAAATGGAAGAAAATTATGTTGTAAAATACCTTATTTTATCATGTGCGGATACGTGTATTCTTGCTCTTCTACTTAAAAACTCCCCTTAATTCTCTGGAGCTAAAAAAAGCAACAATAGCTTTTCTAATGTACTCTTTGAAATATTCTATGTAAAGTTCACAGTTTACAGCAAGAAAGCCTTCATTTTTATCAGTTAAAAGAGAAAGTTCACCAAAACCAAAAAACACTGTGATTCCACAGTGAATATCTGAAGAACTCCCAAGTTCACCCACCTTCTTCTTCAGGGAAGTACACAAATGATCAAGACTCATTACTGCCCAGGGTAAGAGCATGGGTCTAGAGGCCTAAGTGCCGTCTCAACTCTTTTCTTCAATCCCGAATTTTGATTTTAAATTCACAGGACAGACAGTTGTCAAACTACCAAGCCATTTCACTGAGAGGTAGCTTGATTTTGTGGGGAGCTTTCTCCATTCCAAATCTGAACATCTCATCCCCTCCCATAATCTGGAGAAGGAGCATCAGTGAAGTGAAAGTAGTGGTAAAAGCTAGCAGGAATATTCTGCAGTGGTCACGCAGATAGGATTTACAAGTCCTAACTGGCCCGAGTGAATCCTGGCTCCTCTACTTACTCGCTCTATGACTCTGGGCTACTTTTAACCTTCCTGGTCACCATGAGTCAGAACTGACTAGACAGCAACAGGTTTGGTATTTTAGGAGGAGCCTTAATTTGGTCCCTGGGTGGTGCAAATGGTGGTCGACTAACCTAAACGCTGGCGGTTCAACACACTGTGGAAGGCCTGAAAACCCAAAGAAGCAGTTCTATTCTGTAACTCATAGGGTTGTCATGAGTCGGGATGGACTTGATGGCAACAGGTTTGGTTTGGTCAAAGTTTTGGGTTTTAGTTTTCATGCCTATAATATAGGGACAATAGTAGTTACTTCACAGGGTTGCTGTGAGGATTAAATAATACCTGTAAGAAGACCCCTGGTGGTGCAGTGGTTAAGAGCTGGGCTGCAAACCCAGAGGTCGGCAATTTGAATCCACCAGCCGCTCGTTGGAAACCCCATGGGGCGGTTCTACTCTGTCCTAGAGGGTCACTATGAGGCGGAATCCACTCGACAGCAGCAGGCACCAAATAAGCATTCAATATACGTTACCTGTTTGTACTACTATTTCTGTAAATTGAGAGAGAACCTCTAAGGTAGCTTTGCAGCTCATCTCACAGAGAGACAAACAGTCTGGCCGTGAGCAACCTGACCTTTCAATTTCTGCAGTGGGCTATTATATCCACTGGATCTCCAGGGGCCAGTACAGCAGCCACTAGATACATGTGGCTACTGAGCACCTTCCTGGTCGGAATGAAGATGTGCTGTAAATGCAAAAGACACTGAATTTTGTACATTTAGGGAAAAAAAAAAAAAATCTCAGTTTTTATATTGATGACTTACTGATATAGTTTGGCTACATGCGTTAAATGAAATATATTACTAAATTAATTTCACGTGTTTCTTTCTACTTTTTAAAAAAAATGTGGTTACCAGAAAATTTAAAATTACGTAAGTGGCTCGCATTGTATTTATATTGGATAAAACTGATGCGGCACGTGGCTACTCAGAAGGCGGACTAGCAGCACCGGGGAGGCGATTCTCAGGCCCCTCCCCAGACAACAGGTCTCTGCACTTTAACAAGATCCCCAGGCGATTCTTCCACGTTGCGTCGGGGTATTCGGCTGTTTGGCTGGATGAAGAGGGCAAATCTGGCCCTAAAGCCACCTTGCTTTCCTAAGTGATTATGGGGGGACGGAGGGGAGAAGAGTTAGGGAGAGAAAGAAACTCAAATGATAGGAAGAAAAACAAGCATGGGGAATACCCGCAACATGGGGAACAAGTAGAAGGGAACTTCCAGACCTTTGCGTTCAAAAAAGGGGAGAGATACAAATGGAGATAAAACCTACAATCAAAAACCCATAAAGGGCCAGGAAGGAGTCCTGGTGGCGCAGCGGTTAAGCGCTTGCTGCTAACGGAAAGGCTGGGGTTCGAGCCCACCAACTGGGCGGGAGGAAAGGTGGCAGTTCGCCTCCGGAAAGATTACAGCCTTGGAAACCCTATGGGGCAGTTCTATAGCGTCGCTATGAGTCGGAATTGACTCGACCGCAAAGGGTTTGGTTTTCTGGTTTTTTAAAGGGCCAGGAAACTGTCCGTCAAGTTTTACCCGCTCCTGTGCGGCCTCCGCTAACCTAGGCCTGGAAGCGAGCGCGTCTCAGGCGGGGGTGCGACGCGAACCACCGCCCGCCTCAGAGCTGGCGGTTCCGCGCCGTATCTCTTCATCTTTCCCCCGAAGCCCTGTTTCCCAAGACACACATCGCCATTCCCGATGCTCACCTGTCTCCGAGCGGCCCCAAAGGCCTGCAGCTTCGCCACCGCCACCTTGGAGCCCTTCGCTCTCTGCCCGCCCCTTTGCGCCATGGCGTTGCTCTCATTGGTCCGCTCACTCGTCACTCCTGCAGGGCTGGGCCCGACTGCCGGAGGATGTGCAGAACGCCATAGCAACCGGACTCGAAACTACATCTCCCGGCATGCCCCACTCGGGGGTGGAGCCAGGCGCCGCAGCAGGGACTACCAATCAACTGGGAACGTTGTAGTCGTCTCGACGGGCTCCGTTTTATGCAAATTTAAAATTTAAAGACCACACCCTTCCTCATTCCAACCGTATTCCTAACCACTTTTCGTATCTAAGTTAGTTGAATCCACCCTGTCTAGTCTCTGGAACGGCAATGACAGATGCACTGAAATCGTGGATCTAAATTCCATAAGCCTCGACCGAGAAATCCCAGACCAAAAACCTCCGGTAACGCCTTCGTGGAGGCGGTGGGGGTGGGGAGGCAAGAAGAGGCCTACGCTCTCCCCGTTCGAGCATGCTGATTGGCTTATTCCGCTGTCGCTCCGTTCTTTTCCAAGCTTTCAGCTCCTCCTCCTTCGGTCCTGCGGTGGGCGGGGCTAGCGGTAGGGGGCGGTACGGAGGGTTGGGCCCCTTCTTCCGATTGGCAGATGGGCGGGGATGGAGGGTGGAATGGGGCGGGAGAGGCGGCCGAGGGATGTGTGGAGATAGGCGGGAGAAGGGAGCGAGGGAGCGAGGGAGGGAGCGAGGGAGCGAAGGAGGTAGAGAGGAGCGGCGGGCGAGGGGAGGGGGTGCAGCTTGGTTGCTCCGTAGTACGGCGGCTCGCGAGGGAGAATCCCGAGCGGGCTCCGGGACCAACGGAGAGGCAGGCGGGGATGGTGAGCGGGGCTGCGGCTCGTCCGTGCCTGCCCGCCGCGTGTGGGCTACACTGATTGCCCCGGCGCGGCCGCGGGGATCCGCCTGGAGATGAGGTGAGGAGCCGGCGGGCGGCGGCCTG